CGCGCTATCATGATCCCAATTCTACCTTACAAATCTGGCTAAACGAGAGCACGTACACCTGTACAGGTAAGAGCTCAAAATACAGGGAATCCAGGATAGATAAACCCCTCAAGACCAATAATGAGAGCAGCAATACCAGGAAGGTAGGGGTAGAAAGGGGCAGCTGATCACAATGATTTACGTATAATCCCCTCCCGTATAATCCCCTCCCGGGGGTCAGACAACAGAAAAATAGGTGACGGGAGACAGTGGTTGGTATGCCACATGAAAAAAAATTATAAATTATCAAGGGTTCATGAGGGAGAGAAGTTGGGGGGCGGGATAAATGATCTGATACCAAGAGTTCAAGTAGAAAGAAAGGTCTTGAAAATGATGATGGAAGCATATATGCAAATGTGTTTGACACAATGTATGAATGTATGGATTGTGATACGAGCTTAAGAGCCCCCAATAAAATGATTAAAAATAATAATAAATAAAAATAAAAACACAGAGACTCCAGTGCCCAGCACAGTTCACGGCAGACTGAAGACCTGGGAAAGCACGTGCGCATGCACACACATGTACACACACAACACACACGGCCTGTGTATCTGAGAAAATGACGGAACAAGCAAACAGAGAGCACACACCACACGTTGGGTGGCGGGGCCGTCAGGGAGAGGGGGAGAGGCTTGGGAGGGGTCTGCGAAGGGCGTCCCAGACACCCACAGCCAGGAGGGCTCTTTCTGTCACTGTGTGATGCCACCCAGCCAACTGCCACTCGCTCGCTCGCAGAGACCCCACAGACCAGGGGCTTCACAGAGTGTGGGGTCTCTGAGTGTGGGACACCGTGCCTTTCCCTCTCTTGGGGGCTTGTGGTCTTGGGGTTATCGGCCCAGCGTGTAACCCCTGTGCCTCCGGGGACCCCATTAACAACTCCCATACACAGCCGATGCTCTGGAACGGGTGCTAGGGCAGAGAGCCTTGCCTGGTGTTTGCAGCTCAGCCTGACAGGAGGAGGTGGGTGGCCTGCAGGTCAAAACGAGGACCTCAGCTGGGGATTGTTCACTCCAACACCCCACGTGTGCAGGCATGCTGCTCCCCTCGGCCTCCAGGTGGGCACGGCCCACCTGCACTCAGCTCTCGAGTCTCACCCTGCAGGAGAGGCCTGGGTGGGGAGTGGCTGACTGAGTGCCTGAGAGCAAGGCTGTGGAAGCTTTGGGAAGCCTTGCTAAAAGGGTGCTGCCAGCTGGGCCCTTCCGACAGAGGCTTAAGGGACCACCAAGCAGGCCTTCTCTCCCAGTGCAGACGCCGAGTGAACATGACCTGGTTTAGAAACAGGGTCTTTGAAGAAGGCGTCAGTCATGACAGGGTGGGTCCAAATCCCATCTCTTTGGTGTCCTGAACTTGAGAAGAAAGGAGACACAGAGGGACGATGGCCACTGTGCGCCAAGGTGGCCCAAGGCTGCCTCAAAGCAGGGAGAGGAGGAAGGATCCTGCTGAAGGCACATCCCGAACTTCCGCCCCTTGGCCTGAGTCGGAATGGAAGCAGGCCTGCCCAAAGCCCCCAGAGGACACAGAGACAGACACATGGACAGATGCCTGCCCACCTCCAGCAGTCTGTAGAGGACGGTGCCATGCAGGCTTGCCCATCTCTTGGGGTCTGCAGGGAGCTCACCACCGAGAAGCACATCCCACTTGGCCCTGTTCTGTCTGACCAGTTGACGGGGCCAGAGATTGTTGCTCACGCGTGGGCATGTGGGGAAGACGCAGCCCGGCCTACAGCCTTTGAACACTCAGGACCCCTCCTTCTCCTCCAGACACACCCAAGCCAGGGTCTTGACGACACCAGCTCCCGTCCATCCTTCATCTTACTGTCCCCACGTCCACTCATGACCGTGGTCTCCCATGTCCACCCGTGACCCCACAGCCTCCCATGTTCATTTATCACCCTACAGCCTCCCGCTATCCACCATGACCCCGCAGCCTCGCAGGCCTGAGCTGCGAGGGCACTGGGCGCCCTTACCTGCTGCCTGGCCTCGTCCCCACCTGCCCCCTGCTCACACTGCATCGGAACGGACATGGCACAGCTGCAGCTCTCAAGTCGGTGGGCAACACCTGTAGAGTGCCCGAAACAGGCCAGGGAGCCTGGACACAAACTGGTCTCACCATGCAGTCACTGACCAAAAGAGGACATGGGGACAGAGGGGGCAGGGCCGGAGCGAGGGAGGATCCGGCTAAATATAGCTCTCGGTCTGCAGGGCTGTCACTGCGGCTGGGCGAGCATCTGGCCTGGGCAATCTGTCACTTCCTCTTACTCACATCCTGCCACCCAGATGCCGACGCGCGTCTCCGCACCAAGCCGCCCGGCACAGAGCACTCGCACAGCTGGGCGTGCAGGGCAGCACACTTCCTCACAGGACACCCGAGACCCAGAAATAGCCCGACCACGCAAACAAGCCTCGGAGAGCCGACCGGCCTCCACGCAGCGTCATTTCTCTAACATGCCTCCAGAGATAGGGGTCATCCCAGGAGCAGCCCCTCACGCAAGTCCCAGGGCAGTCCTGGGCAAGGCGGGGGCCAGCCTTCCCCCCCAAACGGCCCTGGGCATCCGGGAGAGCAAGTTTGGGGGCTCAGGGGCTAAACTCCAGGTAGCGGGCTCAGAGGAGCAGGTGGAGCCGTGACAGGGAGTTCTCTGTTAGTGGCAGGTCCCTTCGCGTCGTTCACAGGGAGCAGGATGGGACAACACTGCCCACCCTCGCAGCGGATGGTGGGTCTGAACTGCCAGCCTCGCGGTGAGCAACCCAACAATGCCTATCGCACAGCATCGCCCCTTACTCCAAACACCAGAGCCGTCCTAACAACGGAAAGGGCTTTAAGAAGTGAGCGTGCAGCCTAACCTTAAAGACAGAGAACACTTGACTTTGTGCAAAAGGACAGGGGCTTCATGTGCAGGGAGTTGTTACTGAGGGGCGGGGGTTCCACAAACCAGACCCACTGCTGTCCAGTGGGCTCACAGCGACAGGAGAAGACAGAGTAGAAGTGCCCCGTAGGGTTTCCCAGATGGTACGCTTTTATGGAAGCAGGCAGCCTCAGTTTTCTCCCATGGAGTGGCTCGTGGGTTTGAACCACTGACCTTGTGGTCAACAACAACCCAATGTGCCTTCAGGGCGCTGCCAGAAACAATCCCCAGGGGGATCCCCTGACCCCAGAGAGGCAGAGAGATGGCAGACATGTGCTCTGCCCTCGAAGGAGACACTGAGATAGAGAGGACGAACAGGAGGGAGGGAGGGAGAGAGGGGAAAGGGAGGGGGGAGGAGGGGGAGGGAGGCAACCAGAGCCCCAAACCACTTGTGGCTACAGACACAATGTACCCCCTCAACCAATGGCAAAGAGAAGCAGCACCGCTCCACACAGCACGGCCGGGTCACAGTCCAGCCTGGAAAGGCAAGGCTGGCTTCACATGTACACACCGGCCCGGGGTCTCCCTGTCTCAAACCAGCCAAGGCGGAGACCCATGCACAAGCCCTTCCCGTAGACGCAGGCAGCAACAGGACGTCTCCAAATGCTGGGGGGCTTCCACAAGAGGTCGAGCCGCTGCTTCAGCCAGTGGTGAACGGCTCAAGGGTTTCCGGGTGAGACGAAACCAGATGGCAGTCCTGCTGGCCCCGCTACTCCTAGCGCAGAGGCAGGCGAGGTTGGAGAACAGGCCCAGGGGCTGGCCAGCAAGAAGGGTGATGGCCTCTCTGCAGACGCGAGGGCCATGCACCTAGAGCATGCATTTGGGGAGAAAAAGCGGACCTGCCACCCCCACCCCTCGGCCCCATCTGTACTCCGACCCATCGCCCAGGAGAACGTGCAGGCATTGCTTTGCAGCCCCCTGGGTTATTCCAGCACCTCCCCCACCCCCAGGGGCAGCACCAGCCACTTCAGACAACAGTGACTTTACTCCCTGGAGAATCCACACACAACTTACTAGAGCTAACAGGCAGATTTCGCAAACTCACAAAACCTGGTTATATTTTTTTATAGATGAGCAGCACAGAAATTAGGAAATGAAAATATGTGCGTCTGTGTATATATTATATAAAATAAAATAAATTCCATTTATTTTAAGAAGACCACAAAAACCAAAATACCGAAACCCCTCAGGGTTGATTCGCGCTGTCACACTGGAAACTAGAGTGCGACCAGGAGCTGGGATGCAGACCTGAGGACGGGCTGGGACGCAGGCCTGACCGTGAGGGGCCGAGTTCCACGCTGCCCCCACCCCCGCCACCCCAGAGTCCCTGTGGCGAGAACACCCTGACAGTGAAAATGGAGCCCGGGCAGCAGAGGTGGGGCGCTGCACTGCCTCCTGCAAGGCCACCAGCAGGAGACCGCCAGGTGCCCCGTGGAGGGGCGAGGCTGTCTGCTCCCTGACAGAGTCACCGTCTCGGAGTCCACGGGCCACGTCCACCCTGTCCTCTAAGGTCACTGTGAGACCGCATCGACTCCCAGGCGGGGAGTTTAGAGCCCCCAAGCCCTAGATCCAGAGCTGTTCCGATCAAGAGCCCGGTGGGCAGTGTTCTCTGAGCACGGGCCAGCTGGTTTGGGGGCTGATAGGGAACTACAAAGGACGCAGAGCTAGGGGGCCTTGTTCCACCCGGGTCTGCCTCTGAGTACACAGCACGCGTGGTGCCGCTGCAAGAGTGGACACGCACAGACCAGTCTGGAAGCAGCCCACACATACGGCCACGGGTCTGGACAAAGGGGACAGGAAAGTCTCTAACAAACGTGGCTCCGTGACTGGAAAACCGTACACATCAGCTCCTCACCTCACACCACAACCATTAACCACCGCCCATGCAACCCACTCCCCAAGACTCCAGAAGACAGCACAGGGCCGCAGGCGACGGTCCCTTCCAGCTCACGGCCATCGAGTCAGTACCCACTAACACGCGCCCCCGCGGGTTTCTGAGCCTGAAGCTGCTTAAGGGAGTAAAAAGCCCAGTCTTTCTCCCTCGGAGCTGCTGGTGGTTGAGAAGTGCTGACCTCACGGATCGCAGCCCAACCCATAACCACTGCACCACCAGGGATCTTTTAAAAAAGAAGCCTGCAAGGGGATGTCCCCTCACAGAGGGGTCACAAGGAAGGGGTGAGCCAGCCAGGGGGCAGCATAGCACCGACGAAATGCACAGCATCCCTCTGGTGCTGTAATGCTTCCTGCCGCCCCTGCACAATCAGGACCCCAGCTCTCCCTTACAGAGCCGGCTAGACAGAGCACGCTCACGGTGCAGCTAAGCGCTCTCCACAAAGGGACTTCGGGACAGGCACCCTCAGGAACAGCAGTGGGAGGAGCGACACTGTGAGGGTGGGGAGGTGTGGGGAGAGAGGGAGACCCATCGCAGTGGTCCACAGATAACCTCTCCCACACAGGGACACCAACAGCAGAAACACAGGTGAAGGGAGTGTAAGATATGAAAATAATCATCATCTATCATTTGTCAAGGGTTCGTGGGGGTGGGAGGAAATGAGGAGCTGAAAGCAAGGACTCAAGCAGAAAGAAAGGATTTTGAAAACGATGATGGCGACATACGTACAAATGTGCTTACACAATGGATGGATGGATTGTTAGAAGGGCAGTAAGAGCCCCCAGTAAAATTATTTTTGTTGTTGTCTTGTTGTTTTTTTTAAAGAAGTCTGGACTAAGAGGAGAAATTAGATGCACTTAATTCCATGACAATGAAAGAGCTCAAGTCCACGAATACTGCAGACGTCACCAGTTAACTTGAGGTCACAGTGGAATGGGGTGGGTGGTCCTGACAGGAAACAGGGAGCTAACTGGCCACACACCCCAAGCCGCTACCGCAAAGCCAAGGAGCACCCAGGGCTGCAAAAGACGGGTGAGGTGACCATGGCCTGCCTTCCCCGAGACAGGAGGGCCGTCCATGGCCCGTCCCGCCTCGCAGCAAGCCTGCAGCTCAGAGAACTGCCGCAGCTCCCCAGGCTAGTGGCGTGGAGGTGAAGCCCTGGGCTGCCAACCCAGCAGCCGTCCCACGGGCGTGAGGGGTGGCCATTTGCTTCCATGAAGACTGACCGCGGGGAAACCCTCTGTCCTACAGGGTCCCCGAGTCAAAAGGGACTCAGCAGCCTGTGGGGCAGACCCCCAGGTCTCTCCTCCCTCAGAGTGACTGTGGGGCTCAGGGCTCCGCAGAGGGAGCAGGGCCCCACTGACCCTCTGAATCCGGACAATGCACTCGTACCGGGTGGTGTCCCTGCGGCCCCGAGGAGCTAATGAACTGAGGGCCACACCAAGACAGGGACAGGAATGGTCAGGGCACCCTGATTTGTAGGTGGCCCAAACCAGGAAGTACCAGTGTCCACCACCAACTGTGGGCTGGCCATACAGTGGACTTTGACACACATACACACACACCCATTAAAAGAAACAAATTAAGAATACTCCCAGCACGGAGCCTTTCACAAGCACACTGCTGCTGAAGGAAGCTACACGTGAAGAAGTATGCGTTGTTTCCCTCCGCTGATGGAGAATTCCAGAACATGAGAACCAGCAGAGCCCGCCCGTCTGGGGAGGGTGTCGGGAGGACGATGACCAGGAGACCTTTGGGAGGTGGAGATAAGTTTACACACACACGTCAAAACTCACTAAATGATGCCCTTGAAATTACACCTCAAGTGAAGACGTAAAAGAATGTTTAAGGTCAAACTATTTTAGTGAACTAGAAAGTTCTCCAAAGAACAGCGAGAACCTCTCTCTGAATGGTGACCAGAGGGCCCATCAGCCAAGCCATGAAAGCTTTTGCAGGGATGGGCACAAAAGATATTTTTTTTAAAAACTAAATAAAGTCACTACCATCGAGGCGATTCCAAACTGCCTCTGTGGGTTTCCAAGGTTGTCAGTCTCTCTAGGAGGAGGCAGCCTCCTCTGTCTCTCTCAGAGTGGCTGGGGGGCTCAGACCGCTGCTGCGCGGCGAGCAGGGTCCTGGGCAAGCCCGTCTTTACGTGCGTGCGTGCGTGCGTGCGTGCGTGCGTGCATGCTTGTGTGTGTGTGTGTGTGGTTGGGCACAGCCTCACCCCTCAGCCACGTCTGTGCCCAAGTGTCACCCAGGCCCGGTCAAACACCCAGGCTCCTGCCCCCAAGCT